CCGGGTTCTTGTTCTTTATGAGAAGTGGTTTTATTTAATTTTAACATAAAGGCATGTTGTGTGTCACCGCAGTTAAATCGGTGTCTATCATGATATAACCTTAATCTCAAACCTATATAATGAGTTTGGAAATTTTAAAGAAATGCTTAATAAATGCACTGTAACTAAACCCATTAAATTTACTGTATTAGTCGACTAAAACTAGAATAAACTAAAGCAATTCAGATGACTAAAATATGACTAAAACTAAATGGCATTTTAGTCGAAAGACTGACGAAATCAAAATTTGCTGTAAAATGAACACTGGTTGCGAGCTGGACTCGAACCCTGGTTTATGGGGCGTGGCAGGTGAATGAGAGGTGTTGGGATCTTGTGTCCAGGGTTCTTCAGATGAGCCGGTCTGATCCCGAGAGCAGGCGTCTGCTGCAGGAGATCACGCAGGAACCGGACTCGTCCTCCTGCAGCTCTCTGCTGGATCCTGTGCGTCTGGACTGGGTCAGATACTGGGACAGAGAAACGCAGAGCTCCATCCTTCTGTCCCGACTGCAGCCGCCTGGTCAGTTCATCACAGCTCAACACTTCAAGAGTCACGCAAGCAGTGTTGGGGAATAAAGCAATAAGCCCCAAGAAGCCGTGGTTTACAGTGAATTTATAACAGCTAAGGGGCGTTGTTAGAGTGCCTAAAAACCCCTTAGCTGTTATAAACTCACTGTAAACCACGGCTTCACGGGGCTTATTGCTTTTATAAAACGGTTATTCCATATACGTAGTAAGGTTTCACAGAATAAAACAGAGCAAATAAAGTGTAATGATATAAATAAAAACAGTATTCTTCCACCAAACAATGTAGTTCCTCAGAATCAGTTGTGGTTGCAACAAAGTGGTTGCCGAGCAACACACAGACGTAAACAAAGGTGTGTGTTCGTAGAGTAATTTACAACAGCTTCGAACGCGGCTCAGCCAATCAGAATCAAGGACCGGAACTCTCCGTTTTATAAAGTTACTTTTAAAAGTAATGCATCACAATAGTGAGTTACTCCCTAAAAAAGTAACTAATTGCATTACTTACAGTGTTGGGGAATAACTAGTTACACGTAATTTAATTACAAAATAAATGTAACTGTAAACAGTTACAGTTATTGAGAAAAAATGTGTAATTAAATTACAGTTACTTATGAAAATGTTAACAATTTTTTTTTTTTTCCACACACCCACATACAG